ATGAGCATGCTTGCCTCACAAGTAGACCGTGCGGGTACGCATGGGGGATGGTGTGATGTGAAGATTCAGTGGAAATGTTTTAATTGAAGTTTTTCTTTCTTCCTTTTAATTTCTTGATTTCTGTGCTTGATCTCTGTAATGATAGCTTTATGTGGGACTTCCTAACTAAAACCAGGAAACTTTTTTTTTTCCCTTTACCTTAAAATTGTAACTGTTTCCAACCTCCTACAAGCGCTTGATATCTAAGCTGCACCAAGTGAATCCGGGCCCTGTTACCCCCAAGAACCTGCTCCTGGATTTACAGCGCTCAGTGAGTGAGTGCATAGCATAGCAGTTTGGCATGTCTAGTTCATGTCAGTGAGAGTGTGTGTGCAGGGACTTAAATCCGTGTGATTTAAGGCATAGAGGATGTAAAAGGCAAGATCTTGGGGTTGGTCAGCTGGCTTTTTGGAAGCTGTGATGTTTGGAAGGGCAGGATATTGACCAAATTGAGGTGAAACTCTGAAACAGTGGATGGAGAAGCAATAGAAATGCTGCACTTTTCATTTTGTATCCTGAGCACAAGTGAAGGCAGGTTTGGAATTAGTTTCAGCCAGGGAACACATAAACCATAGGTCTAGCACTCTAAAGAGTTTTGAATCTTTATTTTGAAGGCTTACTGCATCCTGCTAATGTCTTGATCCTCCTGTGGTAGGAGAGCTGTAAGTCAGATTTGTTTGGGAGAAGGAAGTTTTCTTTTGGGCCTCTGTGCACTGTTTAAATTGTGAATTTTCTTGCTGTTATGGAATTTTATAATATATACTATGCATTATTTATACATAAAATATGTTTTAGTGTCATTGTAACCAAAAAAACAACAAAAAAAAATCATCCTAAATAGATGATTAGAGGGATGTAAAATGTCAAGTGAGCTGTAAGTCATTGAGCTGTAGGACATTTTCAGTTGATACAGCCAACAGAAGTTTGGTGTGATGTTCTAGGTGAGGTCATACTGGTTTGCTGCTAATATGCTGTATTATACTGCACTTAGTCTTGTTCTCGCCAAGTGAAGAGGTTATTGAGCTGCTCTTATCAATCAGGAGTCAAATGATCCAGAAGAGGAACACTGAGTTCCTAGTGAAGGATGATTGCAAGCAGGACAGTTTGGCTAATTAGCTTTTTTTTATTTTCTCTTTTTTTACATCAGTAGAATTCTGCATATCAATGTAACTAGGCAGTGTACAAATCACTGTTACAATCCATTAATCAAGGGCATGGAAGAACAGTGCTGAGGGAAGGATCCCTCTGTGTTATGTAAGTATTGGGCTGCAGGCTCTCAGTCACCTCATCTCCTTCCCTTAGGACTTCCCATCCCAAGAGGAGTAAAATGAGCCACCTTCTGGACCTGACAATTTCTTTGCAGTGAAATTTATCAAAAGGCATGGGGTGCCATGCTGAAGGCCTTTACAGAACTCCCGGGTAAAAGTACTTAAGTGCACACCCTCCTAATGGCTTCCTTCCCCTGCTCCCTTCTCTCTTGAGTTTTGTGCAGTTAGAAGTTGGAAATGATAGTGGCTAAAATCTGAATATCGTATCCTCATTCTGCCTTAGAAACTGACTTTGTATGTCTTGCTCTTCCCTTGGAGAATTGATGGAGGCCTCCCTAACTGTGAATATTCTGGGAAATAATTACCCTGTAGAGAATTAACCTGCACTGTTAGGGCACTGAACCTAAAGTAGCATTGAGATGCTTTTGTTGTTTCAGATAAGTATCCTGATGCTGACTCCTGTCTATTTTCACTCTTCAGTCCCCTCTGGGAGCTTAGCTCCCTTCCCCTTCCTTTCAGCCCCTGTCCTGCTGTCCTGCTCCTTCCCCTTGGCTGCAGCACGAGGCAGCTTTGCCTGCACTTCTGGCTTGATCCTTTCCTGATGGGGTGGCACAATGTATCCTCAGCCTGAGCTCTGGGAGTACAGACAGAAGGACACAACAGCCTTGTGGTCGCAGTGCCAGTCTGAACCTTGATTTTAATACTCTGTTTTGTTTTGCTGTAGTACTTAGAAAAGGCTACAGAAAGATGCTGGTGTTAGAGGTCACTGTTACAAGGTCTCTGCTCGCTGCTCAGGCAGCTAAAGGTCTGAGGCAGTAAAATGCTGGGCCCTTGGTTGCTCCTCACGATATTTATTAATCTATATGGATGGATGCATCTCAACTACAACCATTACTAGGTAGAAAATGGCTTGCTAACATACAACGGAGGGGAAAAAACACACAATTTATGTATAGTTGAAGGGACGTGAATTATGAGGGAGGGTTCTGGGTGAGGTGGTCTCTAAGCATTCTTTGCCTGCCTCACAGGCACTTGTGAATTGTTTTGAGATTGTTTATGCGGAGATCACAATATTCTCACGCAACTTTTCTCAAATTTTTCTCTCCATGGAGGAGAAATCTTAATATGTTGTTACTGGGCTGAGGGGTTGTCCATGTTCCTTAGGCTCCCGGAATGCCTCACTCATTAGCAGTCTCTCCACTTTGGCTGTAAGATTAGTGATTTTTTCAATTAAAACAGAATGTAAAAGTATTGTCCAATTAGAAAGCAATGGTGTGTTTGTAAGTATCCTTGAACGTATTTATCTGTCCGCTGGGAGCACACAGATGTCTGCTGGAATTTAATTTCTCTGCAGCACACTGGGGGTGGGGACAAAAAAGAAGTAGCCAGAAAATCACTGTTGCTGCAATAAATACCAGGCTTCTCCTGGTGACCTGTGCTGACTGCAGAGCTTATTACATCTGATACAAGCATAAAACATCAACTCGGCAGTGCTGTTCTCTGGCTGCTCTGCATCTGTACCAGCAGACTGTTCTTGGCTGATTGTTGTGGGTGGTCATGAAGAAAAGATGTCATGTTTTAAAGCCTATTATTATGATAAAAAAAAAAAAAATCTGCAAGGCAGCACTGCTCAGTAAGCAGCAGCAGCCTTGGTTCACCTCCATGGAATGAATGGCCTCTGAGGCTGGAGCCAGAGGCACGCTGGCTGTAGCGAGCAGTGTGGCTGCTGGTGAGGGTGCTGCTATCCAGAGCTGACCGCAGTGTCCTTTGACTGTGTTGTCTGCCTGGGGTTCCTGTGGCATTGGTCTGTGTTGTCTTTTGGTGATGTTCTGCCACAAAGTGGAGTGCTCTGTGTGAATCACTGCGAGCTCCTTTCTGGGTCATGGTGCTGCTGGATGTGGTGCCCACAGGCCCAGCTCTGGGTGCAAAGGTGAAGCAGGGCACTGCCTTCAGCAGCCTGCGGTTCTGCCTGATTCCAGGTTTGAAATGCAGTCTAAAGGGGACCCTGGCAGTAAGCTAGAGCCAGCCTGAGCACATCTTTTGTCCCATAGTTTTGTGGATTGGTGCTTGTGTTCAGCTTATTTTAGAGTTTAGCTGAGATGGGATTATTTGTAACCATCAGAATTGATGGTTTACTTAACTACCAGCAGCTTCAGAATCCTCACGTTTCAGCTCTGGATGGAGGTGCAGGATTTGCTCTTTGCTGGGAAGCCATCATCTGTGTTTCCATGGCATCAGCCTCGAGCGGAGAGCAGCAGGGAGGGCAGTGCTGCAGAACATAGTGGGGAGTGGTGTGTTTTCCAGTCAGGGCATAGGGCTCTGCCTGCCTCAGTACTGCAGGGTGGATGGCTTTATGCTACCCTGCTTGAGATTGCAAAGACTTTGCTTTTTCTGCTGCCTTCTCTTGATTTTTCTGAAGATGGGGCCGTCACACACCTGTGTTACACTTGCAGCTCCATCTTCCCAAGTGATTTGATTTCTTGGCTCAGCACCTCCACCCTAATGAGACTGGTTTGCCTTCCTTGTGTGCTGCATGAAGCTGGCACTAAGCAGTGCATCACAGCTGTGGTGCAGGTGCATAGTAGTGGCTGCAGCATTCATTTGTTACGTGATCACTTGAGACAATCTGTGTGCCAGCTTTGGATTTTTTCCAGCTGGCACTCAAGAACAAGGAGCTGAGTACAAGTTTGGTGAACTTCTATGGGTTTATGTTATGCAGATGCTATGGTGATCACCATATTTTCACTGGTAATACAATCTATAAAGTTATGCATGTGTAAAATGATATATAATTTAGATGACAAGAACTCTATAATTTAATATATACTTCTATTTTGTATTTTATCACTGCAAATCTACTTTCAAGAAACAGAATATACTTTTTTTTCTTCCATCTTGTTAATATGTGATTGGCAGCTAGATGCAAGGCAATGAACTGGATACAGATTTAAAGAAAAAAAGCTTAAGGATGCTCTGTAGAGTAACCTTGTGTAAGGTGATGTCAGTATTATGTCAGACATCTGTGTCAGCACTGGCACTGCAGGAGAGCCTGATGGGAGAGATAACCCCTGCAGCAGGGCAGTGGCTGCCTTAGGTGTTTGTTACCATCATTTGTGATGGATCTGAGAGAAAGCTCAGCAAAGGTGCTGCAGGATGTGTGCTAAAGCAGCTTAAACATCTGATGTCTTCACGGCATTTCTTTGTTGTCTTCGTTGTTTACCACAGCGAACCTGTGCAGTTGTACAGGAATCATATGAAAAACAGTATGGATGACAGAAATGGAGCTCTTCATTGCCCATTTGATTCCCAACTGCCTCTGCATGCCTGTCATCTTGCTAAGGCTCAATCTGTATCCCTGTCATCCCTCCAATAGCCTTGTTGATTCCAATGGATGCTGTCAAGGATATGATGTTTTTGCGGGATTGTGTCTAGCTTGGCTTTCAAAGATTGAAATGTGACTAGGTCTTTAAAATAAAGTCTTTTTACTAGAAAAACAAGCATGCTGCCTGTCCCTGAGCCCCCAGGCGGGACGTGTAATGAAATTTCCTTTAAAACTGAGTGCATTTCAACCTTGATTTTTACATCCTACAAATGCTAGTTGTTTCAGGTTAATTTTTAATTTCCTGTCATAATTGTGGTTGTCTTTATACTGGTAAGCAGAATCGCTTTCATTCATTCATACTTCTTTTTCAGATCGCATGTGGCTCCGAGCATAATCTGGCAGTAGTTGGTAAGTAGCTTGATTTTTGTATCAATTCTGTCACCTTTTTTTCATTTATAAGTAGCATAAGATGAAGAATATGCACATCAAACATACTGAGTGAGTAAGGGCATTGTGCAAGCTGGGAGAAGGAAAGCAATGTATAGGTGGAGAGAAAAGAGGAGGAGAAATCTGTAGCCTGATTGGTGTTGTGGTGTTGATGAAAATAATGCCCTTGTTGACCAGGCACTGTAATGAGAGAGAGAGGGAGGGAGGGAGGAAGAGAGACAGAGGGAAGGAGGAGGTGGGAGAGGGGGAGAAAGAGAGAAAGACAGAGGAGGATTGGTAGATGTAACAGCAAAATACATTCTCAGTTTGTTTTTAGAATGGAGCCATTGTAATAATTCAAACTCCAGATTTGGGGTAACATCTAAGCTTGAAGCTTGTCAAAAGTATCTTTGTTTAACAGGGAAATTTTCAGTGAAAAAAATCCTGTGTCTTTTGTTCTTTTAAGTTTGGAAAGTCTTCAGTGTTTTGATCAATGCTAGGTAGGTTCTTTAGTAGACCATAGTATAATGCTGCTGTTGTGACAATAGTAAAACTATTAGGAAGCTAATGTTACTGAAAGAACTGAATTTTGTGTACTAATTCCAATAACAGTCAGATTCTTGCTTTCATGTGATGAGTTGATAACTGAAGCTTGGTACATGATTGTTATTGTTTATATTTACATGTTTAAAAAAAAGTTTTTAACTGTGGATTTTCAGATATGTAATAAAGGTCAGCATCACCATCCTGGCTAATGGGGTGAGGGAGACAGAGGAATGCTGTGCTAATCAGAGCTGAAAAATGAAACCAGCATTTCTCAATTTCAGTCAGCATCCATGTAGACATTGCTGGTTTTCATCACTGATGTATTAAGGTGTTCAATGAAGAATATCCTTGATTTTCTTGAGCGCTGTATGACAGGTCTGCAAAAACTGGCTATTTGGTAGGAAACCTGCATTTCATATTCTGATTTGTTTTGGTTCAGTTATTATCAGCTTCATTAAGTGGACACTGAAGGGTTTTCCTGTATATATAATAAGTAATTTCCTAATCATGACTTTAAAATTAGACCCTACATCAAACTTCTTAAAGTTCTACTTAATTTATATGGCAGGCTTAAAGAAAAGGTTTTTCCTTTGCCTCCCTACTGGTTCAGTGTCATTTGCATCTCTTAATTGTCAGGTTGGTGCTTCTGAATGTCAAATGAAGAGCAACCTGAAGAATCACATTGTGTTTCTTGCTGAACTGATGAAGTGAAGTGTACTGCTTGCAGATTCCTCCAGTGTGTGAAAGCCAAGCTCTGAGTTTGGGCAACTTCTCTCCTTATGTTCTTTTAAGCTTTCTACCTTTTAGGCTAAAATTAGGAAAAAAAATGGATAAGAAAATGGACAGAGGAGAGAAATTGTAGAAGTAAGGTATATTAAAGTAGGATTTCTAAACACACAATCATATCATATACCTTTTAAAGCTTTGCCCTACTTCCATTGAATTCAGTGGGAAAATTATCAGTCCTAGAAGCTAGTCATTTTTATTCTAAGAACAATGGAAATATATTACTTTTTTTGAACTAAAGTACTATTATACAAAAGTTCAATTCAAAAATAAAATGTATACGCTTTTAAAAGATTGACTTTTTAGAAAATTTTATGGTAGGATTTCTCCATTGCGTGTCACTCTTTGTTCAAAGCAATTAGCTGATTTACTCTTACACACAGCGTTCATTAAGTAGTTTTATTTGATTGTACTGTTTCATACTAACTTATCATTCAAGCAGCATTTATTTACGACAACTGTATAATAAGTTTCTCTCTTAATTGGTAATGCTTGAGTGATTGACTTTTAGATTGAAATAACTTTCAGATTCAATATGAAAGGTAAACCAAAATGCACGCCTTTAATATTAGAATAATATGAGATTTCTGGTTGCATATACAAATGTTTGTACTTTGTTGTCTCGTCTTTTAAACAGAAACATTTTAAAGATAGAGCATAGCTAGATTTGTCATTCATTTCACAAATACTGAAGCTGTGCTCCAGTCATCCTGCTAGAGACATGAACTGATTCGTAGGTCTTAACTAGCAGGTGATTTTTCTCATGTTACTTTTTATAGTTTGCATCCAGTCTGTTCAGTTATTTGATTTTCTTTTCTTGCTTCTTCTACTGAAAGAGCAAAATTTGTTGTTACCTTCATTGTAATGGCACCAACTCCTTTTTCATGGGTAAATGAAAAGAAATTTGGTTTTCATTTGATCACAAGGTTAATGTTGTAGATGAGATGAGGTATGTGTCTAATATTTATAAATGTATTGAATAGATTGATCTAGATAACTCCGTGACAGTATTATAAGTAATACTTAGAACTGAAGAAATTTATACCTTTTCATGCACTAACTTTCAATGAAAACGTTTGTTTGGAGTTGTCTTGGGATACGGATTTGAATATCTGAAAGTACTGTGACTTTTTACGTGTCACTTAATGCGACAGAATCTTGCGCTTCTCACTTCGGCCAAGAATTAATCATTGTAGGATCCAACCTATTTTTGGTAGAAAACATGTCTATTTAACAAATTTAGGGTAATGTCTCACGTATGAAAAACATCTGATGCTGAGAACTGTACACGTACTCAGAACAAGAAAAGCTGGCTATTCAGCCTGAGTTTAATGGCTGCTCTCTGCAGCACTGAATGTCATGATATTAAGACAGTGATTGAAACGTGCAGTGAAACCAAATCACAGTGACAAAGTGACTGTTTTCAGCTTTGATGATCTATGGTGTTTTCCTGAAAAGTATGTGGTTAAAAATTCTGTTTATGGGGAAGACTCTTACCAGGTTCCTCCTACTTGCCCCCACTATGAATAGATCTTCCTTTTTTTAAAAAAAAACCAAAAAAAAACAAGAAAAGTTTTTTTAAAATTGAAGAGAAAAAATATCCTTTAAGAGAACACTTAACGTGCCACATGTGGCTCATACATTGCTGCTACTTAAATAGTAAAGCCATACAAATAGCCATACAAATGTACAGCTACTATAAGAACAGGTATGTATTGACTATAACCACAGGGCACAGGACAGGATTCCTCCATGAAACCCCCCCAGATGCAGATGTCCTATTTTTAATAAAAATTAAACCCATAACTTTTGTTTAGTCTTCCTTGAAGTAATTACAAGAATGGTGCTTCTCTAGTCTGGCTTCCAAAAATCTGGTGAAATATAATATATCCCTTTTTGGTCATCTTTTCAATCATTTTCTCACCTTTATAACATATTAAGAGTCTTTTAAAAGAAAACTGCTAGAGGATGTGTAGGAAGAACTTGTGTTTTTAAAACACAGAACACAACTTTAAAAGCTTACTAGCTGGTTTGTGCATGATTTCAATAGTGCAGTGCCTGGTACCATGTCTGATCAATGATTTTTCTGCTAACGTAATGGGTAACTTGGGCATTTGAAGTATTTTTCTGTGAAACTGACATGGGTTCTTCAGGTAAGTTTTTTCTAGTAAGGCATCTTGAAAAGTGTTGGGAAACTTGGCCGCCTGAAATGGCGAGTATGACTTTTCCTGGCATTTTCACGCTCAGCGTGGTGAACTCTGTTTTTTGCTAAGGATTATATTGTTTTCTTTCTTGGAGACCTCAAAGCACTCCTAAAACTAGTTCTCGACTTTCTGGTAAATAAGAGCCCCTTTCAGAGAAGGTTCAGATTTGTCTACTGTAGCCGTGCTTGCTGTATTTCAGAGCATGTGTTCTATTTCCGAATTCTGTCTCATCTGTGACTCATGTGCAAACACTGCTGTAAATACCCTGACACGGGTGTTCACGTTCCTCTGAAGCTGCAAGTCATCATTTTGGAGTGCACAGCAATACTAAGTTTAATAGGATAACACTCTTCATCAAGGAAACTTGAGGAAAAAAATATATCTCCTCCCAAGTGGCAGGTAGTGCTTCAAATCCCCTGGAGTAAAGTGTGTAGTATCTTTAGAGAGACTAAAAGCAGTTACTGCATCATTTGCTAATGTTTGTTTCTTATGTTGTTATGCTGGAAGAACATAATTATGGACTGGAAAACAGATGTGACCAAAATGACAAACATGGAGAACTGGTGATAGGCATCCTGAAGTGGTCACAGAAGTGGCGGCATCCCGCGTGCTTTGCTTTGCTCCCATGGTTTGGAGTGAGGAAGCTGAAGGATTCTTTTGCTGGAGCCCCTGCCTCGTTATTAACAAGGTCACATTATTTAGTTAAGTTCTGTGAGTCCAACTAAATTACTGTAAAGAGAATCAGTGGAGGAAGCACTGTAACAGACTGTGAAAGGCGTGCTTCTGTGACAGAGCGAGAACCAATTGGGAGAGGCTGCTGGGCAGATCTTTGCTGTAGTGGCAGCATTATTTAGATGTTCACAGCAGCCCTCTGAAGCAGCAGATGTAGTCATTCGGTCCCAGGGGTGCTCAGCATGCTGTCACAAAGAGAAAATCATAAATTCTCTTTTACTTTTCATACTGGCTTAGCGTTCGGCGGAAACTCCAGCATACACAGTGGAGGGCACTGGTGTTCAGCAAGGATCCTCAATCTGATCCTCTATTGCTTTATTTATTATGCATGAGAAATCCCAGTGCAGCCAGGGTCTCTATTGTAAAGATTCCTGGCAGAGCAGCATGGAGTCATGTTGCAGCATGCTGTCTCTTTGCACTGCTGCACTAATCGCATTCTCTGCTTATTAAAGGGCACCTGGCAGGACTTGGAGTAACCATTGCTGTTGTCATTTTCATGGGGGTTATATGTCAGCCTTCTAAATTTGCTCCCTGACAGAGAAAATGAATTTTGCTTGTCATTTGTCTGTTAATGTGACTTTAAAATAGTTCATTGAGATATAGACTGCCTTGGTACCATTCATTGTCAGAAGCTGTCTTGCTTCTGTAATTACCTGAGCACCTGCCTTATGTGCAGGTGCTTTCTGCCTAACTTCACATAGGTCTGACACTGCA